CAGTTAGTATTTCTTCAGGATGACCGACTCTGGTGAACAGATTTACCATCTCCCTGGTGATATTTTTTGCTGAGAGCCCTCCGAAGGGTTATAGCCTCTGGATATCGGGAGGCATAGTCAACGATCACTAATATGCATTCGTGCCCCCTGGCAGTTTTTGGTAAAGGACCTAAGATATTCATGGCAATACAGATGAAGGGCTCTTCAATCACAGGGAGGGGCTGCAATGGTGCACGTAGGTGGGGCTTTGGCGAATTGAGCTGACAGTCAAGGCGAGTTGTACTGTAATGCCTGACGTCAGTGTACAGTATATGCCTTGCCAAAAGAACCTTTTTTAAGACCCTGCCACAGATCGAGATGTCTTCCCAGCAGATGTGAATGAGCCAGGCAGAGTATGAACTGTCGGTGCTTCATAGGGACCAGAACCCTATCCTGGTCCAGCCCATTACATTGATATAAGAGGTCATTCTTGATGATAAAGGAAGTTGATTGCTTTGGCGGCTTTCGTCAGGTTGCCTGTTCAGTTCTACTACCTGGGCTCTGGCATTGGTAGGATCTTCCGCTTGTTCTCAGGGGATTTCAGCTTTTAGGATTCCCATTTCCCAGCTGTCAAGGAGGTCTATGTGGGATGAAGAAGCCTCAGGTCTCCTACAGTAGATCTAAGAGGGGAAGAAGGAGAAGAGGCTTCAACATGAGGGTCAGTCTGGGTGGCGACCCCCTTTCCACCACTTTTACCCAGTCCACAGACATCTTTCTCTGTTTTTACCTTTTTTTTCTCAGCTGCCTCTCATTTCTTTAAAGAGCTGCTTCTCATTATTTTGTTTGTTCCCATTCATTTAAATGCATGATGTAACTTTCTTGTTTCAAAAATTGTTATGGTATTAGAAGATGGTGATAAAACTAGCACCTTCTTCAGATGTACTTGCAACCGCAACATTCTATAAAATTCTGTATTGTTCTGGAAACAAAGAGCCATCTACATGTGAAGAAACTTGTTGTAGAAATCTTACAGTATGTGTTCATGTTTTTTTTTTCTCTGAGCTCATATTTTCAAAATTTCAAATACTATTTTTAATTAACTTCTTCTTGGTAATGTCAATAAGCCTACATACTGTATCATATATCTTTAACAACAGATGCATTTATCCTCTCATGGATACAAACAGAATAGTTGAATGCAATTAGCTTTCTAAATACATTACCCTACTCCATTGTCACGATTATACTCCCCCCTCCTTAGGGGTGCTCCAGCCCTTTCACTTTAGATTTAATTCTGTGCACCTGACCCCTTTTCCCAGCCCACCTTAAAAGCCAGGCGCTGACGTTCATCCTGGCTCTGCATCTGGTTTCCGCACCGTGCGAGTCCGGGACCTGGAAGCGCCTGGTCCTGTTAAGGTTGTAATCTCTGTTCCCGTTCCCTGTCCGCCGGTTCCGACCCGGTTCATGGTTTTAATTCCTAGTTTGGATGGATCACCTGGCTTTGGACTTATTCTTGTGTTTTTGGATTCCCTCTATGGATTACTTTTGGATTGTTTGCCTCGGCCACACTTCCCCCGTGCACCAGTGCACTTTGGACACGTTCCCCTTTTTTCAGCCCCGTATACCTGCATGACGTTTTCCTAGTGTTTCCCCACTTCTTCAGATTGTGTAGTCCGCATAGGGTCCGGAAAGAACTGTTCGTTACATCCATGCCATTTCACATGGATATGAAGCAGGGATCTGTTACCCCAGAGAAGAAAGATATATTGTATAAATACAATTAAAACACATACTGTAAAATACAATAATGCATTGCTTTGTAATAATAACTAAATTGTAATAGTAGATAAAACTAACCCAATTTAATAAATACACAAAAGTAATCAGCCAACATTCAATACCTTTGTGTGAAAAAATAAGTGCACCCCTTAAGACCAAATTGACAAAGTTTCTGATTTTATCACTTTATGATGATCAACATCATTGATCATTTGCACATGTTTTGGTGCACCTTTTTCAATATTCTTTCTTAACTGTGATGGGAGAACTGAGGGTGCACTTACTTTTCCATAATGAATTATATTGAATTATTTTCTAAATGATGACAAAGTAGAATTTGTGTGTGTGCTATTTGTTAAATGAGCTTAGTTTGATCTAACTCTTTGTGATGACTAGGTGTAGGTAAAATATGTCTGAATATAGTAAGCCACGGGGGGAATAGTGGTGCAGTGGTTAGCATTGTTGCCTTGCAGTGCTGGGAGGCCCAGGTGTGTTTGTGTGTGGTTGTGTGGAATCGCTTCTTCTGATCCAGGGTTGTGGTGGGGGGAACCAGAGCCTTACCTGGCAAGCAATGGAGCAGGGCAAGGTACACCCTGGATGGGACATCAGTCCAATTCTGGGCAAACACACAGACAAACACAGACGTGCACACGCTCACACCTAGGACCACAATTTTCTCAGAAGCTAGTTAACCTGCCAGAATGTTTTTGGACTGTGGGAGGAGACTGGAGCACCCAGAGAAAACCCACCCTAACACAGGGATAAACAAGACCATGCACATAGCACTCCAGGTCCAGAACTGAGCTCGAGGCCCCAGCACTGAGGCAGCAATGCCACTGTGTCGCCCACCATATTGTCGCATTTGATTTCAAGAAAAACAGTGATATTTAGTTGTCGTGATGCAATACATTATTTACTGCAATTAAATTAAGAAACTGAATAACATTATTTTTGGTCTTTACATAGTTATAGAGTAATGTTTATGTTATCAGGCATTTTAGATATCTTTATATTTCGTTGAATAAGCTTTTCTTTCATAGTGACATGACATTTTCTGTCATATGTCACTGGCACTATAGTGAACAGATGAGTAAAAGCACACTTGTATCCAGCAGAGGGCATTGTTCACTGCATTCTGAGTTCTGTCCTTCAAAAGGCTTCGAAAACATATGCATAACTTCCACATGATTCTTGGGAGTCACTAAAATGTATAGAAGATTGCTTAAAACTGCACTAACTCAAAAGAAAGGCTTTTGTACTGCTTTGACAGGAATAAAGGTTTATTCTTGCAATGAGTGACCTACAGTATGTATCACTTCCACATGATTCTTGGGAGTCACTAAGATTTCCAGCAGATTGCTAAAAACTGCACAACCTCAGCAAAAAGGCTCTTTGGCTGACAAAAGAATGCAGCAAGACAATACAAATTCCCGTGGATGAGAATATCTTAGACTGGGGGGGTATTTTATTGAACCCAGAAGTTACATTTGGCAATCATGATTCATTCAAGAACATTGAGGTAGAGAAAATCTCAAATTACTGTAACTTACTAAGTGTTGTAATAACACCATAATTCAGGAATGTTGAAGCACCCGCAATAAACTTTCTGAAATTTAAAGTTTTGAAAGCAGAACACGAAGCATTTAAAGTACCACTTTTAACTTTGTTTTAATGGGTATTTATGTTACTATTAATAATAACATAAAAGGTTTATATTTCTTAGTGTTGATACTGATTTTCATCAATATAAGCGTTATTGCAATAAGTTGAAACCAATTATGCTGTTTTATAATACGTTGTATTTATGTACTGTATGTTGTAATTTCCACCTATTAAGAAAAATAGATGCATATTAAGAAGTATAGACATGCAGATGACTGAGGTACTTCGCAGTCAATTCTCAGTATATTATATACAGTAGGTATATGGACTTTCAGCTGGAGCTACTGAATCATTTGATTTCGAGAAGGCTTGTAAAGAAATAATTAAAAAGTATATTTTTCCAGTTGTTTTGTTGTCATGGTTTAATGCAAATTCAGCAACTCAGCCTGCAAGATTATGGAATCATTGTTTTCCTTTTGATATAAACAAGATCAGATTATTATGGAACCACCCCCATGCTGATAGGAGCGAGACTTTTTAAAGCCTTGCACATTTTACAATGACACTGGGTTCTACGTTCCAATGCACTCTTGGTTTCATAAGACCAAGGAATGTCAAAAAAAGCTTCTGTGCTATCAAAATGTGGTTTTGTCTTGAAAATCTTTCCAAATCTGTTTAACTAGATCACCTTTTATTTGGACAGTACAGTTTTTATTGAAAGCATATTAAAAATGTCCCACAGCTGCTTCTAAATGTGGATTTCTAAAAATAATTTTATTTCTGATTACTTTTTTCAAAAAGCTCATTTTTTAACCATCATCAATTTCTTTCTTACTGAGCTAAAAAAGTTTTTTCTGTTTTTGTATTATCATAATGACATCTTCACATTACAGTAGGTTATAATGATGTTTAGATTTTTAATGTTTTAACAATGATAAAATGGTAAAAACAAACATATAAATACAAATCTATTCCAAAAGGGCATTACATATTAATAAAGCATTAAAGATTGATTGTTAGAATGTATCAATATTTGTTTTAATATATTTAGATACTAGCCAATGGATGTATTTGGAACAATTCATATAATAATATATTTAAATATTATTTTTCATTATTCTCAATACCACAAAAGTACAATATATGCATTAAACATCACTTTATTACCATACATTATGAATCTGCTATACTTTATTCATACTTTGAAAGATTTCCAATGTCTGGTTTTACATACTATCAAAAACTGCCAGTATCGCATACATTGAGTCATGAAAAAGGAAAAGCACATTCCTCAAGTGGTGATATTTTAAAGACTGTTTGTTGTCCCTTTTGAATTGTAACTTGAAAAATAATTTGTATTAACAGCAATGAAAGTTACAGTTCTCAAAAGATAGTTTGCACATAATTAAAAATGATACTGAATAAAAAAATGACAAAATTCCAGACAGGTTCCAATTCCAATTCTGTGACAGGTATCTTCATTTTACAAGTAACAAACATGAGCCTTCTCTCCACAATTGAAGGCAGGAGACACTCTGACAATCTGACAATCCTTCATATTATTAATACTACTGAAATAATTTATTGGTGAAGCAGAAGCAAATGAGAACTCAAGCTATTATTGGGATAAAGACATTTTATTTCTTGTAAAGTACAGTTAGTACAGCAAAAATAACTAAAACATCTGCAAATATCCTCACAGAAATTGTCATCTTAGCACCAAAGGGATTCCTTTTCACATATATTACATACATTAGAATGCGTGATTCATTTTAAACAATTATGTTTTCTTTGGAAAAAACAAAGCAAAAAAGCACCTTACTTCATATATAAAATGTCCATTTAATATTTAAAAACACAGTATAATCTTCAAGTATGAATTATAAAAAAAACATAAATATCTCATAAGTTACAAAACCATATTGTTAATAATTATAAAAATGTATACAAAGAGTTTTCCTAGTTCAGACTTCCTAGTTCATTTTATTACAAAATTTAAGGCACATAGTGCATTAAGTTCTTCTTTAATTTCTGATACAGATCTCCTAGGTAGAACTGTCTATCACAAAAATGATGATAGCCAAAGTTCATATAGCTGCTCACTGAATTTAATCAGGGATCCTTTAGTATTGCTTAAAAAGGAGGTGCATTGTCAGACACAAGCTTTCTAAGTTGCAACCTGGACACTTTGGTTAAAGCTAAACATTCCATGTAGTTTAAGTGGAACACTGCAAAGCACCTTGTTCAGTAAGAACATTTGGTGTTATGTATATTCTACTATATGCTGAAATCTGAGGAATACGTGTTAAGCACAGATAGAAGAGTGAATTTGTGAATAGTAACTTTGACTCAGTAACTTCATGTGTTAAGATTAATGTTCATATTCTTTTGTCAATGAGAGGTAATTACAGTAGTTAAAAGCACCATATATCGTAGCAAATATAATCTTTTCTGTTCAGTGGTTACAATCATTCTATAAAAAGTAATACTTTTTAAGCAACTTAAAATAATGGCTTCTTAGCTGGCAGTGTTCAACATTAAATGTATATACATAATAGCACAGAATAAATACAATCAAACATAAATATTGTACACCATAGTAGTATACTGTACATTTGTGTACATACATGCCTGTGAGAGGTAGGGGTGTTATGCAACGGGAACCCAGCAGTGTATTGTTTATGATCTACAAAGCTTCTATAGGCAGGAAAAACTAAGTTTATCATATTAATCCAGTGTTATTAAAAAAGAAAAAAAGCACAAGAGCTGGCTCCAAAATCAAATATCTCACATACTGATTAAATGCTGATTTTATCATGAGTGATCATTGAATAAGAACAAGTGCATACATTTAGCCATAGAAAACCTAGTATGTCTTAAATGCCAATTATACATGAGTGCTGGGATTTGATATAAACTATAAACACTCCAGCAAACATATCTTCTCTGAAGATGTATAAAACTGTACTGCAAGGCACAAAAAAGTACTTGTGACCTTTTTTGTTTGTTATGGTGTAATGTCACTTCCCCTCATTCAATAGTGTGCTCAAAAGCTGTGTGTGCTAAAAAAGTGACAGTTACATCAGAAAACCACAAATAATACATGACATATCACAGGTAACAACTAAGGAAACAAATGGAAATTCAGAGGACCTAAACTTTATATTTCTTTAAGGTAATAAAACGTATTTATTTAGTCCTTCAGGTCAACTTTTAAAAGTTCTGTCGAGAGTTAACGCATGTAGAAGGCCTTTCCACACACCACATGTTTGGCATATGACAAAACCTCTATATTTTAGCATTATAATGGCATATTTTAGTTTTTGTGTGACAAAGCTGTAATGTTTAAAAAAAAACATGGAATGAAAAGCTTGTAGTAACAGATCCTTTCAAATTTGGGGAAAAAAACTGAAAACAATACAAGTCAACAAGATTCCAGTCCTCTGGACATAGGTAACAAATGTTCGTTTATAATTCATTTGTAACACAGAAGGAATTTGTCAATTGTACTTGGGCAGCACATGAAAGATCCCATGTGTTTCCTTCATTCTGTTATTTTGTGGCCTAAAATTCTATCGTCTATTACTCAAAACAAGTACAGTAACTCAGAAGTAACTCTTGTAATAAGTTTCATTGATCAACACTTTTTTTTTCTAACACTGCACTATAGAGTTTAATGCAGTTTGGGTGAATAGGCCTTCCACAAAACTACTAACAAATGTATATTTATGAATTTGATTAGAATTATCTTTGTGCTCAATTCCAACTCAGCTGTCATAAAATTCATAAATATGCTGAGATGACATTACAAAACTTTTAAGCACAAAATACTTTACCTCTTCCTTCCATTAAATGTTCAAAATGTCAAAATCAAGACAGTCATTTGTTTATTTCTCTCCTCTTATGACTGAGTTTTAAACTCCCTTTAAAGTACCTTAACCTTTAAGAAACAAGAACATTTATGTTCTTGTAAACATAAATGCTGAACATGGTGCTTGCAAATCTAGAAAAGATAAAATTAACATGATTAATCTGGGATCTCCCACACTAATTTTTTACATCACACCTGGATGAACACAATACAATAGGAAAGAGGATTTTGATGGTTTCACTGCTAAAACAGGTTCTCTATTAGCCCAGAAATAACCTGCTAGACAAAACCTTTTTTATGATATCAGTAACAAAGGAATTAGTTCAGATGCCAGTTTTTACAGCAATTCCTACAAGGTTTTCTTAAAACGTAGAATAGTTTTAACAACATACAATACAGCAGGGGTGGCCATTGTTAGTCCTGGAAAGCAACTCAAAAGCAAGTATTATGATTTTAGTTCCAAACTCTTAATAAAGTATTTAATTTATTTCATGGGTTTAATTACCTACCAATATATTTTATGAGTGATGATTTAAAAATATAAACTTTCTACACAAACAGCATTGGTCAACACTATTACAAAGCGGTATTTTTCTGTGGTTTGAATAACGTACTAGGTTATTTAGAAAACTCTTCACGTAACTTGGCATACTATACTAATCTTGAAAATTCTAGTTCAGTTACCGTTTTCTTACACAAAGTAAATCAATTCAGTCCCACACAGCATGATTTGCCTCTATATTTGCTCTTTCACAATTGTTATACAGTATTTGCTTTCTCAAAAATTGGTTTTAAAGAGATCTCGCAGTCATACAGTTACAAAGTGTGTGTTTTTCTATATTGGAGCAACATCCCCGCAACCACACTTTGGGAGAGAATAAGGAAGTGGAGAAAGTTTCCGCCAATCCATTTGTCTTTTAACATGACAGGGACACTCGTGCCCTGTTCCAGAGGCCGAGAACTGATTGCAGGAGAGTCACGTCTCTCACTGACAGCACCATAAACCTGTAGAGTTGGATTGTAAACTGGGAGCTGGGAGAACCCTGGCTAACTAATAGCCCTCTGCGTGTGCCAGCACCTATCCTCCGCTACTTGAGGAATCCCAGTCAGTCGGCTAGCGAACCTGTGAACATTGAGCTCAACCTTCTTTTTAAGTGAGCGACTTTACTAGTTGAGCCACTCAAGATGTCTCTGGACTCTAGTAATACCACTAAACTTTGTAAAGGTTTGTAGCAACCCAGATCCTGTGCCTGAAGCATAGAGTGCAAGGAGTGTCTTCACCCTGGAAAGGATGCTAGTTCACAAGCACACAGGGACAACTTAGAGACACAGTAATTACGTAAATACCAGTATTAAATAAACCACTGTAAGATGCTGAATCATGTAATGAAACGACCATTTGATAAAATGTTAATATACTGTATATGGTAAAAATGTCATGAGAAATGTCAGCGCAAATGTATTTGTTTACTTAACAGTGTCTTGTGGATCAATGTGAGGTGTTTGAGCATCTTACCATTAAAGTTAACATTTTATGTCTTCTGTTGTAGAAGAACTACTTATTATTCTCTGTTGAAACAATACACATGATGCATTACTATATTTTAATAGTGTAACAGAGTAGAAGCACTTGGAGCTTGCAGGTTTCATATAGTTTGACTGTTTCAGAGACCATTTGTCTGTGCTGCCACTTCCCTGACCCTGTTTGAAAGGACGTAATTCAGTAGCACACAGTTCTGTGACATTTCACTATTGTTGTCATCCTATAATGTTTTTTTTTTCATTTTAATGTATTTTATAAATATACATAATAATAAATTAATTATTTGTTCTTTTGGAAATATATTAGAAATGACCAGCATTCAATTATGGCACTGACATAATTCCCACATGTATATGTAAAACTGTACAGGGGACTTGTAACTTCATGTGTTACAAAAAAGATATCTGGTTTAAGAAAGTGAACTTTGTGGAAAATCTGTTATAAATTTTGAATTTATCTGTAGTCTCTGTGAGTCCCTTTGCATTAAAAGATAAACTCAATTGGTATACTAAGTATGACACCTTATATAAAATTGAAGTGCAATATTTACGTACCAATATGCAGTACCTGTGCATCTGGCAAATGTTAAGCATACCAGAAAGCTGGCACAGCATATGGGCCCATCTAAAATCATTTATGCTATGGCCGCTTTCACAGACAGACAAAGCACTCCTCAGTCTAGAGATGCCAGAAAGCATGATGATGCAGTATAAGCAGGCAAATGAATTCACAGACAAATGTGATTACATTCCCAGTAGATGCATTTGATTTGTTTCACTTCAGCTTTAGCTTCTTGTTCATAGCACTTGGAGAAGAAGACCAGTGGTAGTCTGAGGAATACATTTTCCACAGTATCCTCCACATCTTCCATAGATTCTGGTCCCGTCCTACAGACATAAGCAAAAAAACATTGGATTTGTATTGTATGCATAGACAACTTCTTCACTAACAAATCTGGCAAAAACACTTCAAAATATCAACCAGATATAATGTTCCATTACATTTTTAATCTGTTGTAATTTTGTCCCCAGCCTGCTCCTCTATATCATTTACATACAACAGAATACTGTCATCAATTGTTTACTCAATGTGTCTTTCCAGCAGCATGCACAACTATTAAAGCTTAAGAGGAAAAGTCAAGTATTCATTTATAGAAAATTTACAAAATTTATTTTGATTGTGTATTCAAATGTGTATTCAAAACATGCAAAATTACATTCATCAGACATACTGTAGTAACTGAAAAATGCAACAACACTAAAATACTAATGGAATAATACTAATGATACTAATGAACAAGAGTCAAAAATTATTTATATAACAATAAAAATAATAAAACTTATATACTGTAGTAGAGTGGTAGATAGTCAAATCAATATTTTTCTTGAAAAACAAATCTTTGAAAACCTTTCTGGTCGAAGTACAAAGACTTCCATCTTTAAGATAGTGAATGATGTATTTATGAACGTAGACACTTCTACAATATCCATTTGGTTCCATTATTTATATACTGTATGGTTCCATTTAAGTTTAGAACTGAACACTGTTGATTGCATAATGCCAGATGTTTTTTATTTAAATGTAATTTCAGTTGTTTCAACATTATATCCATGGTAATATTCCTTAACATGCCATGGACCAGAAACACATGCCTTGTTACATTATTTACTAGCCCATTGGCCCAATTAGACTACCAAAGCACGTTTGTATCCTACTTACAACATGTTCATAATTCAGCTTGTCAGTTGATTAATTGTACATACATTACTGGCTTCCAGTAAAGTTTCAAAATGTTTTTAAAATTTTATTTATCTTAAAAAGTACTTAATGAGCTTAGTTCATACTATCTACTTGAGCACTTGCTGCTACAGTATATACACTTCTTCCTATGCAGATTCTGGCCACGCCAGAAACAAACAGTAAAAGGAAAAAATATTATATATATTTTATATATATATTTTCATATATTAAGACTTAATGTTCACATTTATGTATGAGTTGTTTCTTCTGTTCCTATATAAATAAGTATAAATAATTTAATTAATCAGTATAAATCAATAACCTTCAAATTTACCTGTGATCTGTGAACTTTGACTGTTGCATAGTTACCCTGTGATATCCACTTTGTTGATTCAGCCACCTTAAATCCGGTTCCTGTCAGGTTGATGCTGAACTGGCCCTGTAAATAAAACTCCAATTACTATACTTGAACAAAATAATTACACAGCAGGAATGTAATATCTGCAATTCAATATGCAGATGAGGACATTCCATACATTTTAATCCAGATATTTTCTTTCTTGTGTTATATGATATGTACAATTTATGTGACAATTACAGCAAATAATGTGCTAGCTCTTAACACTAAACTATACCTTGGAAGAACTAAATATTGGTGCAATAATTTTGATATGTTTAGATATTATAAACCCATGTTAATGGTCAGAGGGTTATGAAGACGATTTACCTTCTAGCAACAAAACCTAGGTGGTGCCAGAAACAAGCTGCCCTACATTTCAAAAGTCAGACTTGTTTATCCAATGATCTGAGGAAATTGGTAACACATGAGGTTTCCCATTTCACATCCTTTTAAAAAGGGACTTTTTGTAAGGATATATATTTTTTAATGTCATAACTAAATTGGTGTTTGCCAACACTTTTTTTTCATTTTCTTCAAGAATTATGTAACATGATTGTAATTGTTTTGTAACATTTGCAATGTGGTATTAATGCTGTTTTAGACATATTTAATTTATTAAATTTTCACTAATAGATTAAACCACCCACACACACATATACCGTATATACAGTACATGTTCAGGTGGGTAGCTGCGTCAGCATGCGTAGGCTGCAAAGGAACAAGTAATAGGTTTATTCCATGCTGAAAAAAAGAAGAAAGAGAACACAACGTTTCCGCCGTGGAGCCTTCTTCAGGTGTCACCTGAAGAAGCCTCCACGCCCGAAACGTTGTGTTCTCTTTCTTCTTTTTTTCAGCATGGAGGTGTCACCTGAAGAAGCCTCCACGGCCGAAACATTGTGTTCTGTTTCTTCTTTTTTTCAGTATGGAATAAACCTATTACTTGTTAATATACAGTACATATTATATATAGAATGTGAGAACCTCAATGGAAACATCATATTTATTAAATGATAGGATTCGGCCAGCCCTTTGCCTTCAGAACAGCTTCAATCCTTCTGATAGTACTGTACTGATCCATTATTGAAGAAACAAAGCCTACAGTTCTTTGAAAAATAAAGGAGATGGAGATTCACTCTTTACTCAATAACTCATTCAAGAACTTCCCATAAAGGTTCAATGATTTTTAGACATGGTAATTGAGGAGGCCAAGGGAAGTGTTTGACTTAAGACCGACGTTCATGAAACTTCTCTTAGCAATCTGTATGGGGGTGTTATTGTCTTGGAATACTGGAACATCTTGAGGAAACAGTGTTTGCACTATAGAGTGCACCTGGTTCCCTAAAATGGTTTTGTATTCCTTGGCTGGAATTCTACCATGCGGAGTAATAATTGTGCTCAATGGCTCCAACCAGATTGCTGCCCATAACATAACAGATCCACGACTATGTTTAACAGTTGGAAACAGGCAGTGTGGGTTTAAGGCTTCCTTTAGCTTTCTCCAAACATAAACCTATCCAGATGTAGGTAAAACAGTAAAAGATGATTCATCAGACCATATCACTTTCTTTTACTGCTCAGAAGTCCAGGTTTGGTGATCATTACACCAGGTTTGGTACAATGCTGTGCATTGGCCTTGGTTACAATGGATACCCAATGGCTTATAATAAATATAATCTTTGTCAAGCTCATGACATACAGTTTTGTGTTGAGACTGGGCCATGGAGGTGTAGATTCATTTCTGTGGTAATTTTTGAGTCGAGTGTTTTGTTTTGTGGTTTTTAGTGATTATTCTTGTATGTGTCCGTCCATCCCTGTCAGTGAGCTTTCTTCCTACCACTGATCCTCTTTCCTGAAGCTGTTTTCCCTTGTTTGGCATATGTCGTCTTGATTTTCATCATGATACTGTTCCCCTTGACACATTAAATAATTTTGCGGCTTCTGTGATTGACAAACCTGCAATTAGGGCACCAACTATATGTTAATCTCTTATGTTGCTTTAGAAACTCACATATTAAAGTGTTGATTTCAAGACATCTTTTTTAATGGAAACATTATGCTAATTAGTACTGAAATTAACATAAAATTAATGTGTAGAATCCTTTTTAATTGTAATTTAGATACTCCAAAATATTATAATTTTTCAATAGGTGTTTCCATTATTTTGACCACCCCCTGTATCTTCACAATGCTATTTTATACAAAAACCTGTACAATGTTAATTTTTCTTAAGGGTTTCTTGATGAAACTTAATGCAAAAATGCAGAACAAAATAACATTTTTTTCTTTTTGAAAGAAGGACAAAAACTTTCAAGATGTACTTTCGAGAAACTTCAGTTTCATACCTGTGGGCACCTAGCAGCACTGTAGCAGTCCCCTGCTGTGGCAAAAGGAACTGGTCTTCCCAGTGGTGTCTGGGAGAAGAGGAGGTCTGTGGCTACAAGAGAATATACAGTACATGAGAGAACTACAATTCTGAAGTTTATTTTAAGAAATATGGTCAGTTAAGAACTAAAACAGTTGACATTGTAGATACTATAAATTTAATAATAAATAAACTTTTTACTCTGTTTCATTGTAAAACTGGCAACTTGTATTTTTCAGTTTTACAATGAATTTATAATTCTGGTAGACCAACAACAAACTACTTATGTTGTGGTTAATTATTAAGACACAAAAAAGAGCTGCTTTTAAAGGAAGATTAATCTTTGTGCATACTATTGCAAACAATAAAGAAAACTGAATGAAAGACAAAAAATACATTTAAAGCTTAATTATAGATTCATACCAAAAAGCTCAAGACCCTTAAGATATTATAAGAAGTGGAGGTTACTATGTTTCAGGCAGGAAACACTAATCTTTCTTTTTTTAATAACTAGAATGCCTTCCAAGTAAATTAGAGTGTTCAAAAATCTTCCTGGAATGTTTCAACTATATAATCTTCAAAGCATCTTGAACTCATTATTTTTTCTACCTACAAAAAAAAGCACAAAACAAATGAGTAACATGCTCTCTGAGTGTTTCTCTGCTACAAACATATGTTGCCCCAAATGAACATATGGCAGAGAACTGACTGCCCTGCTGCAAGAAAAGTTATGTTTTCATTCTTCCTGGAACAACTCAAGAATACCACTCAGACTACGCAATTCATGAAGATATGTTGTCATGTGCATGTATAATTAATTATTGTAACCCCAATATAGATATATCAGATTTAAAAGCAATCAAAATTATGAGCTATACCCTACTTGATTGGACTCTCTGTGGTAATTATGTCTGAACTACCTCCTATCAAATCTCTTGAGAGAGACAAAGATTACAAGGTCTTTAAGCAGTAAAGTACAGTTATTCATGAAACTTATCTGAACAACTTTTGAAAATGTGCTGAAATATAGCCTTGAACCAACATCTACTGTATTATAGTTGAGATATGCTGCACTTTCTGAAATTACTTTAACTTCACGCACGTCTATAGCCTTGCTTTCAAACATTTTCAGAATCCCTGTGGCAAACCAAATGCAGCAAAGTAACCTCCCCAAAAAACAACAGGAGGTTAAGCACCTATTTATTTTCCACATTGGTTTTACTTAAAACCAGCATCAGCAGAGCAGCTTAGTAGTCATATTGGAAATCGTGGATAAAAATATCTAACTAAAAAATTTAAAAAATGTGTTTGGGTAAAAGAGTTCCTTGAGGTTTTAGTTCAGCTTTAGGAGAGTCACACTGAGTCCTCAACTGTGAAAATGAGGAATATTTCATATAAGAGGTTCTAAAGGGCATTTAAACATGACTCCATGGTGTTTATTGAGGCCTGCTGGTGACTATATATTACCACATTACTGAATCTAAGCAAAAGGTGCAAAATTGTAATTTTGCCAGTGTAAACAAGTACAATGTGCACATAGCTATTAGTTTTTATTTTGACTGACGTAACTGAGGTGTCTCTGGAAAGGAACACCACTTATTTTAATTATATTCACCACTGGTGTCCTCCTAGAAGAGCAAGGCTTTAGGTATACTAAAAATATTTTTAAACAGTGATTAAAACACTACTGAGCATTATTTTTAGATTTTTTTAAACAATTGTGAGTTGTGAGTTGTCATTTGTTGAGATGACAGCTTTTACTCACTGCCATTCATCCTCTATTGAAACCTGACCTATCTGTAATATTGCACCTGGGTATCAGTTATACAGTATATGGTGACAGACTAATTTGAAAGTAATTTTTGCTAATATGAATCCTGGAAGAACCTTTTAAGCAATAAAACATATTAAGAACAAGCAATACGGCACACCAAAATCACTAAGAAATCAAACCAGAACAAAAAGATTATATGAACCAACACTTTAAAACTCATGACTACTACTTCCCATTGCCTGATAATTACGTACTTATTATCCGCATGGTACTGATATCCAGTCGAACCTTATGAAAAAGTGTGTATCCAGCTGCAGGGTAGTCATTTCTGCAAAAGCAATCTTGACTCCGGCTTCCATTGAAAGGGCATTCAAATGGGTTCTGCAACCTATCAATGAGAAAAAAGTTACTAATTCAGGCTCACTAAAATGTAATTCTGTTTGAATTAGTAGTAGTAGTGTTAGTAGTAGAAGTCATCCATGAGATGCACGAGATTTTGGACAGACTTCCTCTGTTAATGACATACAGCAGCTTCCTGGTTGTGCTCTTTCAATTTGGCACCATCAGAGGGTCCTGCGAACCACCAGGGTTTCTGTGTTCTTCTCCAGATAAGCTACTTGGAAGCCCTATCCATGCCACCTCAACTTTAAGATTATTTAATACTGTAAAAAGTCTATTTTCTCACCCAGAAGACATACCTGTATCCATATACTTCAGAGAAGTTGTCTGTCTGACCACTGCGTAAAGTCACATACTCTTTTGGATCACTAGACTGCATGTCGGCACAGTAGACCTGAAAAAAAAGCGTAATTGAAACACTTTCTTAAAATGCAAAGACAGCCACAAACATACAGTACCTGTCAGGTGAAAGTAAAATACTTATTTTCATATCACCTACCTGGAGAATTTTGTTTTTAAAACGGAGAAAATATTCCCCTTCTTTTCGAGACCCTTCTTTAAGTTGTACGTCTTTACAGCTCGTGAACAATTCACCTGAAATGTTAAAAACAAATAACCATATACAAAATAATCATGTCAATTAACATTAAATGTGTTGCTAAACAGTCCTTAATATATGTTTGAAAACATGCAATGAGAAGGAAGAAGAAATAATCTAGATCACTGCAACACTACAATAATAACAATTAGTAAACACAATTTTGATATTTTTTAACCTGTTCAACAGGAGATGATAATGTTTAATTTATTGTTCACACCAGAAGAAGGCCCCACAACTGAAATATTGTGCTTCTTTTCTTCTCTTTTCAGCATGGAAGAAACCTTTACTTGTTCCTAATTTATGCAGTGCAAACTATGCTTTTGTTCACATAGAAAAGGCTGTTTATTTATCTTATTCTATTACTTTCACCATGATTTCACCAATATCTATAATAATAATATAAAATATTGATAATAACTGAACATCATAATAAGAAGTAACAAGTAAAGGTTTATTACATGCTGAAAAGAAAAGAAATGAAACAATGTTTCGGCTGTGGAGCCTTCTTTGGATGTGTTATTGTATGTATGGTACATTATTATTTTTATCATAATAAGAATACATGATTCTTTAAAAGAAAGACTTTTAATTTTTACTCTTGTTCTCCATATCGTTTGTGGGGACATTCCTTGTGAAGTGGAAAGGTGGTTATGGTTTGCTGATTAGAATTTTTTTCTCATGTGCAGTTGCTTTCATCTGTACGGTTGACATATAATTTTCATTTACAATAACCAAACTTGGCTATGAGAATTAAAGCATTCCGTCCTACAGAAAATGGCAGTATCTCAGAACATTTGGACTTTATCATCCAGAAAGGAAATTTGCAATTCTTGGCTCAACAGCTGTATTGTGTTTCAGGTTAAAAGTGAAGGTTACTGTTACATTTTCTAAGAAATCTGAAAATATCCAATAAAGGTTTCACAGAATTCACGTTCTAGGAAAAAAAAACTTTAGTGGTTGCATGCATTACTTATTCTGACATATTAAGCACAGCCTAATCTCAAAATATATTTTGAGTCCCACATTTATTTGACCTTATTACTAAAACTAAACGTATTATTATTTGGTTCTATTTTGTTGTCAAAACAAAGACACCATCTATTGTAGGTTTAAGTGTCATCATTTTATGTTGTAATATAATTTGCTGTTTTTTAATGATTTATTTTGCAAATTGATGTTACATTATCTTCTAATGACAATTTAACACAATAAAGGCAAGGCATCTATTAGGTCGAAGTAATTCAAGTAGGTAGCTATCTATTAGCTATCTAGTAGGTAGGTATCTATTAGGTCTTACACTCTCGCTCTTGACAGGTAGCCCTGGATTCAGGCTTCTGGTTTTGGTCACAGCTTTCAGAAGGTAAACCTTTAGTGGTAAGGCACTCCACTCTTCTTTCCATTACACCTGCTCCACAAGTCATAGAGCACTGTGAAACACAACAATCAAATCCACATTAGTCTTAAAAGGTATGTAGTGACTAATATCTGACACATAAAGAAATGTACAGTAATATATATCCCATGTCAAGACTTGGGTGAAGTTAGTCTAAAAGGAGTATAAATATGTGGCACACAGGTTTCAAATGGCAAACATTGACAAAAAACAAAGTCTTTAAGTGACATACATTCTCCAAGTGGAAACCCTTCAATATAAGAGCGTACTTTCTCACACTTAAGTGTTTAGATAAAAACGGCAATATAATTAAGTGTTAATTGTTGAATTTAACAAATGTTTAAGTGGACGTCAAACTCGAATGTTACACTTCCATTCTTCTTTGCATTAATGCTCCCTGGCTGCACAGAGCTCTGCACACAACTTCCTTCATAAGTGATTGGGGATGTAATCTCTGACCAGCACTACCATTTCCTCAGCTAGGCGATCAGCACTAAAGTATTAACTACGCTATCCTTTTTATTCACCAGCATGTATAATCATGATTAGAATTTGACTGAACTTCTGAAAAAAAACCCTTAGCCTTCTGCTTTGTTTTGGTTGATGAAACCCTCACAAGAAATCAGTGTCTGAGAAATATACTCACCTTACTCCAAGGACCAGCTTTCCAGGAGGCTGCAGGAGGACACTGTCTTAAATTACATTCCTGTTTGTCGGGGGGATATGGCTTTGGACAGTCAGCATGAGGCAAAGACTGAGGGTCATAGGAGTAAATATCCTGGGATGAGTGTACCTCTGAACAGGAAATCATTCGTTGTTGAAATCCATGTCCACAGCTTGCTGAGCACTGCAAATACACAGAATAAACACCCACTTGTCACTCACTTGTTTTCATCCATTTTCTAACCTTTTTTTCCAATTCAGGATCACAGGCGAGCTGGAGCCTATCCTGGCAAGCAATGGGTGAAAGTCAGGTTACATCCTGACACCCTGGACATCAGACCATCACAGAGAGACAGACACAAACACAGACACGCACATAAACCTAGGACACATTTTCCAGGAGGCAGCTAACCTACCAGTATGTTTTTGGACTGTGGGAAAAACCCAGCACCCAGAGGAAACCCATGCAAACACGGGGAGAACATAAAAAACTCCAAGCAGATAGCACCACATTTCTAGAAGTGAACTCAGAGCCACAGTACTGCAAGACACCAATACCTCCCTCTGTGCCACTGTGTCAACCCACTTCCAGCTACTATTTACACTTTACAGAAAAAAACTTTTAAACAAACTAAAAAATATGTAATATCATGGTTTCAAGAAGAATTAGCATTTTTTAATCAAATTGAAAGGAAAATAAGTCTTGTGTGTTTGACCTTCAATATTTCAGAACATGTTTAAAAAGAAACATTCAATTAAGAATGCAAATTTATTGGTATTGTTATTGCATGCCTGGATTACTAGGAAAAGAGAAGAATTTGAGCAATGTTAGTATAATGCACTTAAACATTTTCTTAATTTAAATGTACAGCATATATATATATGTCTTGGACATTCTTCACAGCTATTGTATATGAAAAACATTGTCAACTGGTATCTCCTTTTTTTGGATAGAGTATGTCAATTCATGCTCACACACATACCTGTACAAGAGTTTCAGAATGTGTTTGAATGGATATCATGCTTATACACAGAGTTTCACGGAAAATAATGTTTCACTGAGGTGAAATGCATTCACTGGTGTAACTTGTACTGTATTGACATTATAAATATTTTACATTCACATCCATATCTTTGACAAGATACCTGTGACCAGTCTCCTGTAATCCAGATGTATTTGCAAGATACAGTTTTGCACATCTGTGAAGATGTAGGTTTGGATGAAGAGTTGCAAAGGCTCTCATGCACTGGTTTCATCATGTGATCCACACAGGAAACCTTTCGTTTCATTGTTCCATTACCACAGGTCACATTGCACTGCAAAATAATGTTGTGAATGATAAATAATACACACATAACTTTTAAAATGGCAAATTTCCTTTTTAGATGATACAATTATAATATTACATATATTATTAGCTCCTAATATTACAATAAAATTATATATTCATATTTTAACATACATAAAAAACATATACGGTACCACAGTAAACTGTGGCTTTTATCTTCTAACTGTATATAAGATATTTTTATTTTATTGTCAGTGTGGTTAATCTACCCCGTGAAGACACATAGACATATTTTCCAACAGAATTTATAATACGATGATTGCAAATCTTCTTTGTTCAGCACTGCCACTGACAGAGTCAAACTGCTATTGCTTCATTAAAGTAACCGTGAGTTGCCACCAGAGCATATTTTTCTTTAATGGTAATTCTCATCTACATTTTATCCCTTTGTACTCAATTTTTAAACTGCAAAACTACATCAATCTCACACAATGAAAGATGAACCAACGGCCACACTTTATTCTTTTAGCTGTGTTTTAAATTGGCTGCTTTTCTTTAAATCCTAAATTGTAAACAGTGAAGCCTGATGTAGAGGTGTAGTAGGCGCAACCAAATTATTTGCTAGACCCCTGCATTTGCAGCAAGCCACATGTTTCATTCTTGTTCAGTTAGTTAAGAATCACCTATCCAACTCTCTCCAATAGAACATTTGTGACGATGTTCTGTCACCACCCTCAGAGACACAGTGAATTTCCAGTGCTGACATATTCATCTGTATAGACAGTCAACCTCTATCCTCCATGGTCTTCATATCCTCCTGCCAGCCTTTCCTGTTACAACCAGAATTTCTAATTTCCTTTTTCCTCATCATACAGTATGTCCAAAAAACACAGAACAAATAAGCTCTGAACTCCACTCAATTATCAAATTTAACCCTAATGTTTAATTAAACAACTACAGTACCTGATAATTTGAGACATACAACTAAAAGAATTAAGTTCAATTTAGCAGTGCTTTTAAGATTATATAATAAGAAATAATATATATTACACAACATTTGCTTTATAAAGCTTGATTACAAATGAGTAATAAGAGAATAAAACTATTTTCTTTTTACCACTATATTGCAATTAATAAATTGCATACTTTGTGTAATCGGTCGCAAGCATTTTTTAACTATGAAATTTACATGTATGATTTTGGCAAAGCTCAAAACCCTGCAAGATGAGACCTACTGTGTTGCAGGCAAGGTGCTTTTTGAAGTCTGCTGAGAGAAACCCCAACAAAGGTTTGGATGCAATTAAATACAAATGTTCTGAGTTCAAGTCATACCAGTCATTACTTACATCTTGCCACTCGTCTTTTATCCATTCATAATGAAGACAGGCAGAGGAAAGACACTGCTGTGTGCTGGTGGGCCGCAAGATGGGGTTACAAAACTCTTCATTTACCCAGCCTGTGCCTTTCATTCTGCAGTAGACTTCTCTTTGCTGAATCCCAACACCACAGGTCACTGAACACTGAAACATATTAGCAACCAAAGCCACATCATGAGCATTTCTGCTACAAGAAATCTTGTATAATGTATGTGCACATACAGTATCTAGCTCATATTATTGACATTATGGATTGGTTCTTTTTTGATTCTCATAATGTACTTTTTAAATTTAAATGCTGCAACATTTGAAACATTCAGACAATAACATGGGGTTGCAGTGTATTCATGTGATGTACAGCATGGTAAAGACATGGTATAGACTGTTGCACTTAAAGAACAGGAAGCATTCAAGATACAAAGTGCATGCTACATTGATGATGCTTTCCTGAGTTAAAAGTTTGTGATACATCAGTTTGATGTTAACCACAAGTTGATGTAGAAACTACTGAATAATTCTCAATATCATACTGATCAGTGAAAAAAAAAATCAAAAATTAGTACTGGAAATACAAGACATTTCCAGTGATTAATCTTTGAATAATTGATTTATAGTATATAAGAATAAGAAAACTAAAGAATCCTAAATAAATATTAAGAATTAAATAACAATACAATATGATAGTTATATTTTGTGGTAATGCCATGCATACATTTGATCACATTTGATCAAAAACACTTTGTGTCCATCCCAGATATTTTAAGTGACAATAAATGTTGGGAAACATTGTCTTTAAGTTAAAATTCAGATGTAAAAATCAATATTTGGTTGCTTATCTTTTTGAGGCAATAACTAATCTGCAATCCATTGAACTAACCAAACACTTACAGTAATCATTTGCACACATCATGCTTCACAGATGCGGTGGTGTTCTTAGGAGCATCTGTAGTTTCTTTCTTCACACTTTAACCTTTCTATCACTTCGGAAAACATGATCTTGGTCTCATCTAAAACTTGCTCTAAAGCTATCCTGGCTCATTTTTGTACATTGAAACATATCTTAATCTGTTTCATCTGTTATCAGTGCTTCCCTGCATTCCATGATAAGCGGTTTACATCTTTTGATGTAGCCTTTGCAATTCTTCTGCTGTGTCAGCCCAGCATTCTGGAGACTGATATCACTTACAGTTGTTTCAGGGTTATCCTTTTTTCTGTCCAGCTCAGTCTTACGACTACAAGATTATACTTGTGGTTTCTTTCTTTTTTGGTACATTTTCAGTATCCTAATTTCTGTACTGAAGTCAAAGGAGACAGGTCAAAAGGATGGTCACAGCTCTGAAAACCTCACAAAACCCCATGGCCAACGAGACACACTTGTCAACCAAATGACCTAGTACTGTGTTTCCTGTAAAATAAACAGGTTTAACCCTATCAGTTTTTTTAATTGATCCAAAATCGTAGAATTTATGTTTTATTCCTTTCAGTTAATGTACAATACACTGCTGCCAACACTGACATAATGGCTTATGTTACATTCACATAACAGGAGTGTGAATTGAGACATTATAGGACTAAAACTTAACTTCCTCCAAGTCTCAGAGTTGTTAAAAATATTACTTTTTGGTTGACTAGACATGACTTCCTCGACACTTAGCAAGAAGAAAAATGCTTATGTGTAGCTGCAATTCTACAGGAAGGTTTGTACCATAAGAGACAAACACTTTACTGCAGATTTATTGTGTCGAACATAATTATTATCAGTATTACTTTGAGTAAGCTAAAGAAAAGCAACAAAATGGTGATTTTGAGGATCCTGGCTGCACCATGCTACAGTAAGCAAACAACTGCAAGTCATTTTTTAAAAAGCTTTCTGTTTTCTCAGCTACCGGGAAGGACTATCTGTACAGACCTATCTACAGAGGTACATAAACCTGTCTGAAACAAAAGATCTACAGATCTACAGATGTACATACGTCTGTCTGAAACAAAAGTGTACTAATTAACATTGGCCAAGAATCTAGGGGGAAAAAATCAACAACAGTGAGAAGAATGTGAATGTGGAGAATATAAATTAAAGTAGAGACAAAGGTAGTAGAGATGAGTAGAGACAAAGAGAGAAAGGGAAGTAAAAATAAAAAGATCAGGCAATATGTGCATACCTAAATGCAATGAGTGTTATGGAAATAATGTCCATAAATTGAAGCTAATGCGTTAGCATTTGCCTATCCTGTAACCACTAACACAAAAAACCATAGTTATCAGAAAGTAATAGGTGAAGAATTCAGTATTTTGAAGACAGAGGAAAGTTGGAGGCATAGCATTACACGTCACAAAATCACTAAGTTATCAAAACCTGTTTGACAAAATTTCAGACTTGTAATTGATGATGTGTGCCACACATCACCAAATTCCAGTATTATTTACAATGTAGTTTTATCTGATCGCATCAAGAATTTATATAAAAAGGAAGAAGTGTTTTTTATGGGGGACTTTAATTTCCTCTATCTTAATCAGGGAAAAACCTACATGGCCAGCTGAAATTTAAACTGTAGATACGGCTAACAATTGATTTCTAACTTAGTCTGTCTATGCACATATAATAGAGAATTCCTCTATTTATTTTTGGTTACACACAAGATTAATACTTAAATTTAATGTGGTAGGCATCCATGTTAGTACATACATTTGAACTGAGAACACAAAATATAGACACTGTTACGTCCCCTTGTGTGTCCGTATGTTTTGGTTTTTTTATCACTTCCTGTATTAGGCTACACCCCCCCCCCCCACTGGTCCATCACTACACCATATTTGCCATTATGACATCATCTTCAATCAACTCTCGACCAATCAGAAGTCAACATCTTCAGTTTTAAACTTGGAGGTTTTCTGAATGAAGGGGCCTTTCGCTCGACTTCAGTTTTGCTCAGCTCAGCTTCAGTTTTGTTTCGCATTGCTTTCATTTTGCTTCAGCTTCGCTTCTCTTCATTTTCATTTGTTAGTGAAACCATAAACTACACATACTGTACAAAATGGGAAACTAACAACTTTAAGAAGTTATGAGAACCTAGGAACAAGAATTAGATGTTTATATTAACACATCATTTTCCACATCTAAACAATATGGGGAAGCAATTAATTGTAACACATAATTCAATAAAATAATATTATGCTAAAATTGTACAATGCATTAGTGAGATCTGAAACAGAATACTGTGTACAATTTTAGCCACCACATTACAAAAAACAAAGTGCTAGTCCGGAATGTGCCCATAGAAGAGCAACCATCACATACTGAAAGGAATATCCAACACTGACAGGCAGAAAGAAGTTAACATTTGTAGTACTGAACAAAGGAAACTATGAGGGGACCTGATAAAAGCATTCAAAGGCACAGGCCAGTTTAGAATCAACTGAAACGTACCAGAGTACAAAAATGGAAACTACAGAGGGAGCGCATTTAAAGCTGCAAACAGAAGGTCCTTTTTTAACACAATTTAGTTTGAGAGCTTCTGGAATTAGTTACGAAATAATGTTGATGAAGATGATTACCAGGCTTCTTCTAGGAAATGGATGGATCCAACCAAATAACCTAAATGGACCGGATGACCATTTCCCAATTGTTATATTTCTTATGTAACTTATTTCCACAGATGATCTAAAACATTGAAATGAGACACAGAAAGCCTGGTGGCCACTTATATATTTATAGAAGGCACTTATTTAAACACAAAATTTGTGGTTATTGTTAAATTATCTTTTATTAGTCTTCATGTCTGTCAAGCCTGTGCTCACTGACCACTCTCCCTGGTCTTTATTTGTACTGTGCAATATATTTAAAAACGTCTTTGTAAACCTTGGATTTACAGTTTAGTCTTTGTCAGAAACATTTATGCTTTGATGTATTTATGGAAATGTAACTGAAATCTGTCTTCTTAAACCTTTGTATGTAGTTGTTAATGACCAATGTTTTCATATCTTGTACAAGGGAATCAAATCTTTCATCTTTCTTTGAAGTTGTTTTTTTAATCTTCTTACCTGCATAAGAAAGAAATCCTTTCTTCCTGATCAAACAGAGGGAGTTATTTTTGTTTATTTTTTTCTTTTAAAACATATCTCAGGAACAGCTAAAGCTGTACATGTGAATTCCTTTGTATATGCATTGAAAGTCTTTTTCAAACCATTCACAGGCTTCCATCTACTGTTTTAGTCAGCTGTTTAAGGAACTGCTATTTAGTTTTAATACAAAAAAAGGCATCAGTCTTAATCTGACCTTCATGGCAAGTCTAAACAAAAATAAGAGACGAAACATGCATTTTAATTTCCCTATTCTGCAAAGAGATGTAAATAATTCAGTAATGAGGGATGGTACTGTGGTAATAGCCAAAGATCACTGGTACTATTCTTCCCTTTTTTATATAAAGAGTATACATTTGTATGGAATACAGTGTGGTGACTATGGAAATAGGAATTCTACATGAATTAAGTGCATTTTGTTGTGACTGAAAAAAAAATCCAATTTCCAAGAAATGTTGCTTGGCACAAAGCATCTAGCAAAAGGGACAGGTAGAGATGCACTACATGTGTATATTTCTAGAATAGATAACACAAATATGGTACAGGTGCAACCTGAGAGGAATTGCTTTCCAATTGTTGTAGTAAAAAAGTCCCAGATGCCCCAAAGACAGGAACTTCGTCTTACTGTTACGTGATTCAACAGTACAGAAGAAACGTGTTACACGTCTCAAAGTAAGCTCTCTCACATCTGGAGCTAATGGTTTTAGCAATGAACTGGTAAGAAAGAGCAACATTCAACTTTTCTCCATAGTGCTTCACACATTATGAAGAGGCAAGTTCAAGTTACCTCTTTTCTTTTCTAACAGTCACATGAATAGGTCTTTGAAGATACAGTATAAAAGAGATATCAGGGTCAGGCAGAATATTTGCATGCTGTATGACTTGTGGAGAGTTTCTGATCACTGAATAAATATGTCAATCTGCTCGGTTATTCAGAAGGTGAAACGTAGCACATTTTTGCCACACATTTTTTCACTATTGTGACATAATATATGCAATTGCAGATTTTTTGGGGGAATTCCTTTCATATAAAACACAGCTGTGGTGACCACAAGCACTGCGTGTTTTTCTTCTTAATCTATTGCCGACGTACTACAGTCTTGTCACTAAAAGAAAATGATAAACTAAATGAAACTGAAGCAAGCTATTGCTTTCTAAAGTTTAAAACCACTAGAAACTGTAATGCAACACTTATTTAATTTGACCCATAAAGAGAATCAGAAAGGCAAAACTGCCGAATTGCAGCAGTTTGCAAAATTTTCATTATAAATTTTTATCAAAGAGTACGTACAATACATGTTTACATTTTTAAGCTGCACACTCTTGTGCTAAAAGTCAGTACTGTTTCAAATTAAAATCTGAACTCAAAATCTACACATTTAAAAAAGGTAATAAAAATTACTATCTTATTATGACAACATTTTGGTAAATGCTTTTATTTCGTATTTCTGTTATGTATAATGTGGGTTTAAATATGATTTTCTAGAAAAAAATAATAATAGAGGCAGGCTAAAGTTCAAGTGTGGACATGTAAGTGTAAGAGAAACTGGGCGATACTGTGGAAGAAGAAATGGCTTAGCGCAGATGTATTTTACTGTAAAACATTAAACGTTTTAGCCAATTTGTCACGATCGCTCCTCCTCCTCTTAAGGGCGCTCCTGCTCTTCCTCGTTTGCCTTATTCCCCACACCTGTCCCTTGGTCCAGCCTCCTTCCTGTCCCCCTTTAAAGGCCAGACACAATCGCCAATCGTGGCTCTGCATCTGATTTCCACATCGAGCGAGCCCGGGACCTGGCTGCGCCTGGCTCCGTTATGCTTTTAGCTTCCTGCTCCTGCTCCTGCTCCTGCTCCTGTTCCCTCCTCCAGTCCCGACCCGTCACCTGTTTTTAATCTCTTGTTTTGGATGGATTACCCGGCCATGGATTTTGCTTGTTTTTGGGATTCTCCCTTGGATTTATTCTTTGGATTGTTAGCCTTTTCCCCAGTGTTTCCTCACAATTCTGGATTGTGTCATCCGCATAGGGTCCGGAAAGAACTGTTTGTTACACAATTCTAACACATTTTTACATAAATGACAAAAATGTAAACATTTCATGACTTGTAAATGATACATTGTAGTCATAAAACAGGAAGGAAAACAGGATAAAACTCCACCAGAGTGGTCAATGAATTGTTCCAGTGATGGTGGAAGTGAGGGTGGTGGAGTTAGAGTCACTGAAAAGACTGCAGAAGAGATGTAAAAGTTTGAGATAACTCACCCTCAGCAGGGCTGGCACTATCAGAAGATGAATCTATTGATTCCCTTGACTCAATGAATAAGTAGCACTAGTAAAGTTTGGCTTCATTTGATCTGCATTTGCACAATTTAAATTGCATGACTTTATTCAAGCCAATGATTGACCTACCTGGCCTTTTCTAGAGCACAGCATGATCAGGTGGAAATTATTAAAACAGGGTGTTAGTGGGGGCCTATTCTTATTTCTAGAATTGTGTTAAACCGAATCTTTGTTAGTCAAAACCATCTTAGTTGAAGAGTATATGTAATGAGATCTATAGTTTTGAATGTTTATGAACTTTTGAAAATATAAGAATGATTTCATTGTCCTTCCACTTGTGGTAACTGACATCAGGATGCATACCTCCTTCCACTTGTTTGCTTTCCAGCTGGGGCATCGAGTAGACCTACAAGGCTTGTGTATCCGAGGCCTGGGCAAATTAATACAGTGTTCTTCTCCCACTTGGTTTTGGTCTAGGTCAACACAGACAATGTCACGGTGCTTTCTTCCTTTCCCACAGCTCACTGAACACTGAGGGAAAAAAAGAGTTACACTTAATTTTAATGTAGTGCATATTTTCTTTGGATTTGAATGTTATTACTGTATGTACATCCTACGAAAATGTTCTATACTCTCAAATTGCCATTCAGTTAAATCTGAAATCACTGTATCAATATAAATCATCAAGAAAAAGGAGAAGATGATGCTTTAAAAAGGCACATGAAACATGTTAACCTTCAAGGATTTGCACATTTTGGAAGAGAATGTCAAAATTCAAACATTTATTTCAAGGAAGCAGAAAGATTAATTTACACATTTTATTTTCTGGGCTAATAGTTAATTTATTTTGAAAATTCAGTACTCTGTTAAGGTAATTACAAGAAATATTGGGTGACTCTCTAGACCTTGGGAGCAAGGCAATTTTTTTTGCATGTAAAATAATAGGAATGTATTTTTTTGTCATACAAAAATTCAAATCTTGTCTCAAAACTTTCTGAGGAATTAACTATTTTTACCAACAACATGGCAAGGGAAAATGGTCACAGAAATTCTTTGAAGGAATTTTTAGATGCATTATTTCAATCCATCCATTTTCAATCAACCTGCCTTGGTAAATATCATACAATGGGAAACATTTAGAAGAAATATTTCCCATTTCAATAAAGAAAGTATTATTTCCATGATCATTTATTACCCCAGTCTTAAAATACATTGTAAAATGCACAGCAGTTCTTACACTTTAAACATTAGAAAGCTTTAAAAAGAGGCCATGCCACAAGGTATATGAAAGCGATATGTACAGTATTAAGCCTTTGTCATTAAATTATTTCCAAACTAGGTTATAACCACATATGTTTTACAGCACAACAAACCTGTTGCCACCACAACCAACATCAGCTTAATTGTGTTAGAATAATAACTGTCAAGTCTTTGTTTCACACTGTATACAAGTTGAAATACAATGTGGTTTCAATCCCATCCAGATCCGATTAACAGAGAGTGTACAGCTAAGCCTTTATGTATGGCTTTGAGAAAGACAGGCAGTGAGAGGGGTTCTGAGAAATAAAACTCCTATTATCATCAGTCTATGCATGGGACTGAGAATCATCTGGACTCAATACATTGTGTATAATACTTTAAGAAAGTTAAAGAGCAAAATATAATGAACAAAAACAGAAAACCTGCTGAGAAACGTCTAAACATTCTATGGTTCTTTTTTATGTCAGAATAGGTTTAGCAGTAATGCCCTGATTCTTCAGAAATTTCTTTGTCAAGGCAGCAACTTTTCAGAAGGGCCCCACACATAAGCTTGTCAGACCCATGTGTGGGTTTTAAATAGGTTATTCATAGAAAATATACATTAAATTTAAAGTCTGTTTTGTTAAATCAGTTTCCAGTTCAGATGATAAACATAGTATCGCAGTTTCTTTGGAAAGAGTATACAGTTCAACAGTTGGACTTTTTAGTTCTTGTTGCATTGATGGCTCATTTTAGATTACCCATGACATAAAGAGAACGTGGCTTTTCTTACACCTAAAAGTTCTAGGTTCAAATGTGCAGTTCCCCTTCATAATCTAAGGTTTTGATCATATGTATACTTGATTTATTTTTCTTAACCCAAGACGTTTTAATTACATTTAATGAAAAACATACTAAGACATTCCTTAATTACAAAAATGCATAAAATGCTTTTGAAAGAGTAAGCATTTGGATTCTTAACACAAAGGTGTTATTTTTATCCCAAGGCACACAATTGCAGGCACTTTCATCAATGGACTTGGCTTAGTTTGACACTCCATATATATTTCAGAAACATTGTAATTATTCAGGCATTTTAAACACAGGGTTGAGGTCAAAAGACAGACAACATCAAAGCAATCCTCTGATAACGTCTGATCTTACAAAGGTGCAGATACTAAAAGTCTCCTGCACTCAAACAAATGATAACACTTAGGTCATTCCACTTCAGACAAAATTATAAAGGCAAAGCAAACTCCTCCTTGTTATTTGAAAAAAAATATTTTTTCCTGTTTAAAAAGAAAATCATAGCCACATGCCTGGTACTCGTTCACTGTACTATGTTTGCTGCTAATAGTGGGAGAAGACATTATATGGAAACATGCTCCTCCCTCTCTCAAAACATAGTCATCTGTCAGCCATTACTTAATCAAAGCTGTTAATCTCTAGAGCAGAAGACCAGCACAGCAAATGGGCTCAAAGGACAGCTTTGTTTCAAGGATGGTGTATAGCTGTTAGATCAGCTTCTTGGGAAGCTTGCTTTTATTCAACACCGGACTCTCCATCAAGCAAGGTAAGACTTGAATGATATTTGGCTACACACAAGACTGAGCAGACAGTAATGCAATGCTATATTTATTTTTACATATCTTTTTATCCTCCTTTTATGGTTGTTACTATTAGTATAAGCAGTATTATAAGTATTATAGAGTGTTTAGTATAAAATGTTTGTAAATGATATTCTTATGCTGGTAAAAATAAACTTTAATACCTGAAATCTTCCCAAAATAGCTAATGAAAAAAAGAAAACCTGAGTATAAGATTGACAAATTCTCTAGATTAGATTACTTTAAAAGAACTGCAATATGACTGCTATAGAGTATGTGTAACTAATCTGTGTAACTAATCTGTAGTTTCAAATGTCCAATTTAATTTTTATAACTAATACTGTGGAAATTTAATATTTTTAATCCAGTGCATTAAATATTTTATTAACTGGTTTAATTACATTATAGTTGTATAGACTATGGAAGCTACAAGTCAAAAAGAAACTAAACTAAATAAGTATTATGTGTTCTGTAAAGTACTGTCTGAATAAGCGCTCATAACTTTAAATATTTAGTATACAACCAAGTGTAATTATTTAAAGTATAAAGAGTATTTTGTACCTTGTAAGCCCCTCTGCACAGCACTTTACTCATGAATTATAAACAACTAACACATTTTTAGTCTCTCATTCTAAGGTGAGTAATTCCACATAATGTTCTTGACAGTACAGTAAATAGAAATAGCAATTTTCTATTATCATGCAAAAATGTCACCAGAAGGCTATTAATAAAAAAACAACTTTATGATATACAGAAGATGAGGGAAAATAAATAAATACATACTGCAAACAGTTCCCTCCTTAGTACATGGCCCTCCCAAGTTGTAGTTACAATTTATCCCACATGACTGGCCAGGTTAAGCCTAGTGTAAACTGCAAATACTCATCTGGATATAATATGCACTATGGTTAAACAACACTTATAGAATGAACTCGTGTGAATAAACATGTTAAGGAAAACAAAACAAGGCATAATCTGTCATTAAATGTAAAGAAATTCACAACTGTTTGTTTTACTACTTTCAACCAGTATACAATAACAACCAGTATATAACAAAAATAAAACAAAAGTAAATGGCGGTGATATACTTCCTCCCATATTAATATTGCAAACTTCCCTGGGAAATTCTCTAAATTTACTTGAGGCCTAAAACTCTTTATTTACTCTAACTAAAAATATATAAGTACTAAATGTGTGTGACATGCAACATGTTCTCAACTGTTTTTGAAAAACAGACTGTAAAAACATAAGAACAGTTACAGACAACGCCATTTGGCCCAACTAGCCCATTGGGTAGTAATTAGGGATCCAAGGATTTTCAGACAGCCATTTTCTAAAGATACTTTGTACACTTCAACAACATGGTTGGGTACTGTAGCGTCTTACATACTGCACTTCTACAACCATTTGTGTAAAGAAGTGTTAATTCTTTTTCCTGTCATCATAAGAGAGTACATTCATTTTCAGAGGATATCAAATTTCAATTCAGAACAAGAGTTACAAACATGAAGAGGCCATTCAACTCATCTAGCTCATTTGATACCATATGGCCCAAGGATCTCATCCAACTTTTTCTTGCAAGAAGCTTGGGTATAGGCTTCAATGACATGGTTGGGAAGATATTCTGAATACTTATGTCAGGTACCATCATAGTTTTCTTTATTCAAGACTAAAAAGGTTCTTTTTTCAGTCTGTCATTGTAGGACATTCAAATTTTAGAATGCATCTGGTTGCCTTATGCCCAGTCTTGAACTTACTAATCTATCTCTTATTTTATCTGTCTTGATTTGAGACTTCCAAATGTTTGTTAATCCTATTTCAGTGTCATCTGCAAACTTGGCTAGTTATCTATAACAGAATCTAAATCATTTATATAAATTAGACAGAGCAGTGGACCTAGTACAGATCCCTTTGGTACTCTTCCCTGGTGTACTGCATTTATACACCAATTGGTAATTTAAAGCAGGTATAACACCTGCAAAAAAACATGAGGTCACGAAGGCAAATGAAAAACACACTGACAAGAGCCATGGAATTCTGTTCAAGCACTCTGGAGATTTGGGGGTTTCATTTTTACTCACAGTATTAACAAGTGTTTTGTGCTTTCAACAGTATATTAAAATCTGGCACAAGACAAACCATCCACAGATGCTAGAGGCAGTCTTTAAACTTACAGAGCTGGCCGTATTTGCCTTCCTACTACTACAGACAGGTAAGTAAAAGAGAAGAAAAGGTTCGAAAATGTAAAAACAACAACTCCACTGAATACAAGGGAGGCTCAGTGCACTTTTATGGCAGCAGCAGGTTTGGCTCTTTCAGACTGAATGCATGAAAATCACAATCTTTTAAGTTCAGCCAAGGCATTCTTATGTGAGTCTAGTAAATGTTCAACTGGAGATCATGTTTCTCTTAGCTTGAATGTCAGAAGTGCCTCAACCATTTAAGTAAATGGCTTTCTCTCAAAAATAAACATATATGTATTCCAGCTTTTCAATAAATGTTACATTTATAAGTTCTAGCAGAAAGGGTCTCTTAGCTATAGACCTTCTAAAATTATGTCCCAAACTTTCCTTATTTATTTCCATTGAGAGTAATTGGTCCATACTTGAAAGTCTTGTTTTATTCAGGATTTAGGGAAAAACAACAGTATAACATTAGTTTTACCATGTTAGAAAGCACATACTA